TTTAAGTTGTAGGCTCCATTCCCCCACCCCAACCCCCACCACAAGCTGTTAAAGAGAAATGGAATTGTTTTACATTTTTTGACGTGCTAAAATATTGTGGTCAGATTTTTTCTTTGGGAGTATCTATTGAGTGTTGCAGTTCTATACATGCGACAGTTTTATTGGCCAATGACAAGACTATTTTGATAACTATTGGATATCTCCACATGCTCTTGAATTTTTCATGGAAATCATTGTTTAGAGAACCTGTATTGTATGCATCTTTTCATAGGATTCTTACAGCCTTTTAAACTCTGTTACAGAAACCTATCATGGATAGGCTTGGAGAAGCCTATGACAGCCCTGCAAAGGTTAGCTGATCGCAAATGTACAATTGTGTAGAGTATTTATTGTATTCTTCTCATTGCATGCCTTTTTCTATAGACAGAATTGGCTTTACAACTGTGCTGGGCCATTGGAGAGCATGGTGGGGGAGGTGGATCTCACAAGGATGCTGCTCGTGAGCTTTTTGAGAGTTTAGAACTACTTTTATATGAAAACCTATCCACTAGGTATGATTTTTAATTGCCCTTTCTGTCATCTAGATGTTTTCTTTCTAGTGCTGGCTGTTAGTTTACTGATTTCATTTTCTTTTGTTCAATTTGTAAGTCGTCTTGGTTTAAGAGAGTCAGCTTTGAGATCTGGTGGTGAAAGCTCAAGAAAGTCATCACAATCAAGGTTGCTTTGTTTTGTTGTAACAGCCATTGCAAAGCTTGCCTCATATCACCGGGAATTATTACCAAGGGCACGTGTATCCTTGGGCAAGGTCTGTTTAGAACTTTTTTGGATTTGTCCTGATATTGGCTGAAATTGCACGTGAGAATGAAATGAAGTGCAATCCTCTATACATGAATGTATTAGCTGTTTTCCATAATCAAATATCTTAATTGTATTTCAGGTAGCCCGATCTCGGATCTCAGATGTTAGGGTTTGGAGGCGTGCACGTGATTATTTGGGTTTAATGAATGAGCCTGCAATTTGTCTGTCTGTTTTGGGGCCTTCAAGACCCTCAGATGGAAACATGCAAAAGCCAGGAACTGTCAACTGGAGTGAAGGTGGCACAAAGATGATTGCACATATTCCGTTTTACATTCTTGGTGAACACGAAGGTAAGAAATCTTCTCTGCATTTTTTCTTTAGATGGGTCAAAGATTGGGGAATAACAAAGGAAGAAGAAAATAAGGGTTTTTATGCCTTGCTCTCAACTGATCTCAACTGAGGAGCTAATTTTTTTTTTCCAATCCATGAGCCCGAGTACATTTCATAGCTTGCTCAGTGCAGTGAACATATCTGCATTCGCCTGATGGATTCAAATAATGTTCAATTACAATCCGATTAGATTGGTTTAGATCTAGCTATGATTCATCTTGTTTTTCTGCCACTCAACTGAGCATTGCTTTGTGTTGCAGGTCCACCTTTCCATGATTTTTCCTTCTCAGATATCCTTCCTAGAAGATGATGGCCACTTGTTCGAAACAGAATGCATCTCTAGTTTTGATTTGATACGTTCAAAACGGAATGCATCACTAGTTTTGATTCGATACGAATCCTGTTCAGAACTTGATGGGTTTTTCTTTTTTCAATATCAACATGGATTCCTTTTGTGCCATAATAGCTAACACTATCAAATGGTTTAGTTTGTTTTCGTACTACTACCTGTAAGTAACTTCATCTTCCCTTTGCTTTAGTGCTCCCTTTGTTCATCATTTTAGTGAAGCAATTCATAGCGTAGATGACCATCATCCCCATTGGCTAGACATGTTTAAAGCAATTGAGTGATTTTTGGTTTTGTACATCACTTTCAGACATGTTTTTATAGCAAACTGCATCCGAGCAAAACGCATTCCCCAAAACCACCCTAGATTGGGAGAACAGGAGAACAAACCAGAGCTACAACAGGCAATTCAAAATCAGGGTCTCCAAAATACAAACTTCAAAGGGTTAGGAGTAAGCATCGAAGCTCACTCCTCTTTACTCTTATCTCCATAAAAAATTAAATGCCCCTATTTGTTTCTGTGTTTTTCTTGTAAGATTTTCTCATGTTCCTGTGCACTGCAGCAACATGAACATGACAATTAGTACGACTCCTAGAAATTAAATACGAAAGATTTCTATTTTTCCCAAAGTTGGAACTGTCAAAAGGAAAATATGAATCAGATCATCCACCATGGCATGAATGATTTTAAACTCTTTAGCACCATCAGGACCTTATGCATCAATTCAACTAAAGATCAATGCAATGCTAGTTTCTTTCTAAATTGGTTGAAGATTGATTTGGTCAAATCCAGTCTACTTAGTTAAACTTGAATGAGATTTGACTTTATTTTTTTTTAATTTTCTTTAAATTATACCGTTTGGCATGTTTTTGTTTGAAAAAATTGTTTGAAACATCATTTTTATATAAAAAAACCTGAAATGATGTCAATTTAGAGATGCTCGGGCCCAGAAATTGTCAATAGAAGGACTAGTGTCTTGATAAAAGCTTCTCATCATTCTACCAGCCACCCTCAACAAACTATAAATGTTGCTTAAAGTCATAGGAAATTCAAGTCCCACATCTGTTCTTTCAATTCAATCGTCTTCAAGCAAAGCAAAAAAGGCAATGTTCTTACCACTATCAAAGGCAATTGAGGGTTATATTTCCAACTGGTTCACATGTCGGACTATGGTGGCAACCCAACGCATTGTGCTAAATGCAAAACCATGGAGAACAATTGTCCACTCCAGCTCGCTTAACCAAAATAACCTGCAGAACTTGAAGACAGGAACATGGATATATAGTTGGAGACTTAATTCAAGTAAACTACAATACTGTAAAAAAAACACGTGCTTGGTTGGATAGATGAAAACAAACATAAAAATAAATCTGTTTAAAACAATTTTAGATTGAATATATATCATTTCAAAATAGAAAAAGTAGAGGTTATGTATCATCTGTTTCAACTCTCTCTCTCTCCTTTTAATTTCAAAATAATAACCGAAAAGAATTCAATTAAGAGTGTGTATATATATAGCCGCCTTGAGTTTTGTTAGAATTTCTGGAAATTCTAGAAAAATACATTGATTATTTTTCAAAACAGTCATCAGTCTTCTTAAAAATGATCAAATCGTTTTTTTAAAATGACCAAACTATTTTGGTTAGTAGAAAATTTTGCTATTTTTCACTTTGTGGTCTTTTCTTAAACTATTAATACTCCTTTGGTCTTGAATAGATCTGCATATGATTATAACATGTTTTGAGTCATATCATATGCACTCCAAGCTTGATTTTTAGGTCATCTCTTTGCTCTTGTTTATTCCCATTTTGATGAGCTAAAAGGGAAGAAATATACGAGATGATTAAAATATAAAGAGATGTTTATGAGATGGTTTGAATTATGCCAAAAATGTGAGAATAATTTTATTTGATGATAATGCATAAAAGCAATACTCGCAGGCCTTTTTTTTTTAATAGGATGGATGACTCGGCAACACATAATTCATTATATTTTTTTTAAAATAAACAAATGATAAGTGGAAAAAGTGGAAAATGACATGTGGTTTACTAGTAAATTTGTTAATTATTTCTAGTTGTTGAAAATTTAGGTTACATCTTTTTAGACTTCAAAAACTTATTTTTCGACTATTCTTTCTATCTTAAAATATATATAAAAAATACTTTAAGTATTTTAATAAATGAATAATAATTCTAAAACACCTTTAAATCAGTTAAAAAACTTAAAATTAAATTGATTAAAAAAACTCACAAGTCTTTATATACCTTTTTTAACGACATGAAAGTTTAAAAACATCACAATGATATTTATTTTATAAAGAGAAATTTATTGATATCAAGATTAATTATTTTTTTTTATAGAATTTATACAACCGAACATTTTATCTCTCATTCCATTTTTTGCGACAACTTTCTCACTTTTTGCTCAAAACTTGGGGAATGAGAAATAAAAAAAGAAAAAGAAGTTCAGGATCCGAATATAAAAATCTAAAATTAAAGGGACCAAAGTTACATAAATGAAGACTTTTGGGATGGAATGATATTTTTCAAGCAAAAATGAAAAAAGCCCCTGTATTTTTGTTATTATTACTGTCCTCCTTTTTTTAATTGTTTTATACTACAGTTTTAAAATATATTTCATTAAATTGGTCTCTAATTCATTCTAAAATTTGGTCCAACACCTTAAATTCTCAAGAATATACAAAGAGAACAAAAATATCAAGACATAAAATATCACAAACATCACATAGAATGAAGGAATTACAAAAAAAAAAAGAAAAAAAAGAGAGAGGAAGATTCAACCGACAAATTAAAGAAGAAATAAAAAAAGAAGATATTGTTCAATAAATAGTTGTATCCATACTGCTGCTTTGTGAGGGAGAGAACAATAACCAAAAGTATAAATACTTTTTTGTTTTTTTTCTCCTCTGTATTAATAAGCCATGATGATCTTGATAGCGATGTTTAAATCACAGAGAGCTTGCATTATTGGTTTTCCCTTAGGGTTTCCATTTCCCCATTGGAGCATCGCCTAAGCTTGAGGCAATGAACCTAGAACTGAGACTGTCAAAGACGGAAACTACACCGTGATTGACTGAAGACATTTGGGTTTGGTCCCGTGATAGGAACAGTTGATAAGTTTTCTACAAATGATATCATTTAAGATGTTTTTATTGCTGGTTCTGAGCACTCTCTTGTTAGAACTCTTCAAGTGTTCCTCATCATCTTCCACATTTTTCTTGCCATGATCGTGAAAATCACCTTGTACGAAGGACGTGTATATATTAAATACCAGCTGATGAAGACACGTAGCCTAAGCTGGCTATACGTAATTTGCCATCAAAGACAAGTAAGCACCTTCAGTTTTTGGTAAGTATGGATATCATTAGATTTATCTTGTTATAATTTTTTTTAATAATATTTATAATATAATAATTAAAGTTTTGATATATTTCTAAATTTTTGTTCTCTCTCCCCTCTCTTGCCCATTTAATATTTTTTACAAGATATTATTATTCTAAAAAGCAATAAGTTATATAAGTCTCGCTTTCTAATTATGAGATGTACAAATTATGCTATTTTTTTATTTGTATGCTATTCCATAAATACTTTTAATTACCCATGCTAATTTTGTTTTTTTAAATCCTATTTGTTGTTAATTTTGTATCACCCCCTCCCAAACACTGTTCTGATTAAGAATTTATTTAAGATTATAAAAAATGCTATTTTTTAAAATATTGTTTTTAAAAATATATCAAAATATTTTTTTTGTAATGTTTTATATTACCATATTAAAATGATAAAAAAACTAAAAATAAATTAAATGTTTTCAAAAAACATAAACCACATAAACTCGTACCACGATATACCAAACAATACCTAAGTCCTCTGTCGATTTGAAATGATACTGTAGTGGACTGAAAAGTGAAACATTTACTCTCATCGTACTTCTAGTGTTCCTCATTATGTTCCACGTTATGTTCCACGTTGTTCAGTGTTGACTTGCAAAAATATTTTGCTGTAGACGTATAATTTGTCATTTTGCACCATCCCTCTCCAATGAAAAATTTAAAATTTATTTTTTTATTTTTTTCATATTTTCTTATTTTTTTATATATTACTAACAAAAATAATTTTAAAAATATAAAAAATATTATTTTGTAATCCTCCTCCTCGTGGTGAATTTCTTGAAGCAACTTTATAAGCCATATGTAGTTCATTGTCAATTCTTGAGCATTTGAATTTATACTGTGCGATCCGGGAATTATGATATCATTTATCAATGAAGGCCTGTGAAGGAAGAAGGCGGTCTTGGTGAGATGAATCGGGACATGGAAGCATCATCTAGTCAATGCAGTTCACCATAGGTTCCAGCTACTAAATGACTGTGGAGGCGATAGGGACTGAGGCCCCAACCAGCTGGAACAAATTAAAGTCGTGACTCCATAGAATTACAGCTAATTAATATGACAAGATCGATCAAATTAAGTTGGAAGTTTTGAATTTTGACGATGAATCAATCCATGTTAAAGCATTAGAGTGCAGATCATATATATATTCTGAGTATATGAAGGTTAGCCAGGACATTTGAGCAAGAAGACAAGGAAAGATTTGTGAAACATTTATGCAGTCGACAGGTGTGGTGGTTTTTCCAGGATTGTTCTCAACACTGCTCTGAACAGGTCATTAATTCGTGCGAGATGATTTCGTGCAGTCATTATTGTTAATATATCCAGGACTGTTCTCAAAGCATCTTCTTCACTGTCATTGTTACTGGTTTAATTCTTCTCTCATGGCTGGCTTCTGCTATCCTTTTTATTGTATATCTGGTGTTTCAGCCATAAACATCTAATCTCATAGAGCAACGTTTGATATATATATATATAAAGGCTATATATGCTTTTGAAGAGGATGAATGTCAGCTTTTTGCTGGATCAAGACCAAGATGTTTCTACAGACTCTCAATATTTTTCATCAGCTCTGAATGGAATTAATAGAGCTCATGATCCTAACACCAACTCTAGCTATCATTTGTTAGGTCCATAGGAGGGATATAAAGGAGCTCTTTTGCTTCATTTCTCATAGAAACACATTTAGGCACCAAAAACAGGGACATGAAGCTGCCCATCTGTATATGCAGGTCTCCCGCAGGCATGAAATCTTGCTATTTCTCATGCCCTTTTCTTTAGGTTTTATATGTCATCAGATACCTCGACAAAATCATGTTCTTAATTAATTTCAAATAGTTACGAAATCAGCAATAGTAGGAGAAAATTATCCATTAATTACAGAATATCACAATTCCCTCCATGAATTAATTCTACCATCTTCCAAGATATTATGGGACCATTTACAACAGGGGAAGCCGTTTTCGTGGATGTATCATATATAACGGAGTCATCCAGAAAAAAAACCCTAGCCATGCAAATATTGGTCCAATAATTTTCTGACATCACTATCATAATCATAATATGGCTGAGAGACATTACTGCAGTTTCCTGCTCCATCATTGTTGGTTGAAAACACTTAATCCCTTAAACTAAGACGATATATGTAAATGCTATTCAGTTTTTGTTATAAATATTACTCAAATAGTTCTTTTCCTTTGTTTTAGTTATCATAATTATATTTATTTTGACTCAAACAACTCTACTTTCTACATTAAGATATGAAAATTATTAAAAGCATGATTCATTTTTTATCAAGTTATAACTCATATCTTTTTCATCATAAATATATAGCTATAAAATTATAATTTCTAAGTATCGCTGACAGTATTATATAACTTAGTTTTTTATTTGAATCTAAATCTTAGAATCTCTAATCAACTAAATAGTGTCATTATATATATATATATGTATGTATGTATATATGTATAGACTTACCTTGACATATTTTATTTCATGTCATTCTAATTTTTGACTAATTATCGCAATTGATACAATTGCTAGCACTAGCTTTGGCCAATGTAAAATATCCCCTAAGAAACTTCAAAGTTACTTGACTTTCTCTCAAGTTTTATGAAGAGCAATAGATTTTGATTTTATCATAGATATTATGTTGCATATTTTCTTAGAAAATTTCCAAGACACAACTTATCTATTGACCGTGAAAACGTATCTATAGGTGGAATTCAAATACGTGGAGCCTAATATCGAGTTAGCATCATTATAACTTTTTAATACCACTAGGTATCAAGTATTAGTGTAGCATATAATTCAAAGTTTATCTCAAATATTTTAGTATTTGATTTATTTCTTTTCAATGATCCGTATTTGGATCTCATATTATTTTAGGAAAAATAAATATTTAAACATTTTAAAGCTTCATCTTTACTTCTTAGCAAATACGTATAACAACCTTATATAATAATATATAAAAATAAAACAATACTTTTTTTTATCTCTAGTTCGTACAAGTTTTAAATAACCTATATCAAAGTGAATTAAATCTAAAGGTTCATGAGGACACCTTTACGCCCCCTATGATTATGTGTTGTCTTGTCTATCATTTCTTAATGCAGAAATCAATGTCAAAGAATTCAGAATTAACAGTAAATTGAAATGTTAATTAGATTACAAAGAGTACTTTTTTTAAGTTAGGAACTAATAGTACATCATGAAGTGGCAAGATATTATTATTTTTTTGTTTAATGGAGGAATCTCTAATACCATGTATTGGTATAGAAGAATCATCACCAATAAGAACTGTGTTTAAACTATAGTGATTTCGAATATTTTATAACATACCTGGATTACTTGTCATTTGGTTGAAAGCTCTTGTGTCTGAAATTCATTCTGTTTCAATGATGGTATTGTCCAAAGTGAGAGCTGTAAAAGCTTGTGATATGTCTCTATATTGATTTGGTTGTTTTGGCACCCACTAATATATTTTTGCAATATGATCTGCCACCTCACAGTATTGGTAGGTTACTTCTAGGTACAATTCATATTCTATAGGTGTCATGTGATGTTCTCTAGATAGAGAAGGTCATTTTTGTTTAAGGTTTGAAGTAGGTTTCGTAGTGTAGGTACGAGTCTTGTCTTTAGGTTGTTGTGTATGGAATCCTCTTCTATTAAATATAAAATTGTGTCTATTGCCATAGTTTTTTGAAGAGTGTTTTTGAGAATTCTGGTGTCTTGGTCCGTAGAGTGCTAGCTGTGGAGTAAATGAGTTATTTGTCTAATTGACGAACTAAATTTGTCTTTGATCTGGATTATCTAATTGAGAGACTAACTTAGAATAAGAAGGTCTTAGTGGTTTTAACATTGTGACAGTGAAGGTCTCATATTGAGGGCCAAAATGGTTTTAACATTGTGACAGTGAAGGTCTCATATTGAGGGCCAAAAGTTGTAAAGAAACAAAATCCTTTTCTTTGTCTTAAATTGGTTTTCTATAGTTGTAAGGTTGTTATATAATCCTTTGAAGATTCATATATGTTCTTCAATGGTTGTCATTTTGTTTGCGGAGATATACAACTTATTATCTGAGGGTGAATTTCTATTCTTGTGAGTCTTCTGCATATTCATTTTTTAGAGCATTCTAGACAGCAAAGGCTAAATCTGGCTTTACAGCAAGACCTAATGTTTCTTTTAAAAGTTTCCCAATCAACCAGCTACGAAAGAGGCAATCTACCTTTCTTCAGATACTGTATTCTTTGGTTAGTTTTGATGAAGAATCTGTGGTGTTGGGTTTGGTGTGATGTATTTATTTGGGGTTGGATTTTTATTGGTGAGATGACTAACTAAATCTTGATTTTCTGCAAGAGCTAATGCTTGTTCTCTCCATAATAGATAATTTGTAGGGTTGATTTTGAGGGTAACGAAATTACCAACATTGAGTGATGAAGTTGACATGTTGTATGGTTTTGTTAGGATTGTTGTATGTTCATAAGCGACTTTGATACTAAGTGGAATCTCAAAGGACAAGAAAGTTTTTTTTTTGTTTATTCTTCTTCATCAATCCTCTATTGTGATAATGTCAGTGCTTTGCAAATGATGGTCAATCCTATGTTTCACGCTCATAGCAAACATATTGAGTTGGATTACCATTTTATGCATGAATGTATTGTCCTTGGACTTCTCATCACTTAACATATCTCTACTCATGATTAAATAGATGATATCTTCACCCTTGTCAAAAACTGCATTGACTTACATGAAGGGCAAACTATGCCTTCGACCACAACCTAGTTTGAGAAATGATATTAATGATAATTGGATTAACTAGGCAATATAGGTGTTGTTGGAATAAGATTAAGATAAATAAGGAAGGTGCCATGATAAGAGCATTATGGAAATAAACCAATCTCTTACTAACAAGCATGGTGATGTTAGAGGACATTATGGAAACAAAATAAGACAAAAACTGAAAGAGATGTTGGATGATATTATGGAAACAAATCAACAACATTGACAAATTATAAAGATATTGTTGAAGAGCATATTATTGAATCAAATCAACTAAGAATTTAGCTAGTTAATGTATCCAAATTAAGTAACTTACTATGTTATAATAACCAGTAGCTCTTGTACAATAGTATTGTTGTATATTTATGCTGGCTTTACACAAACAAAGAAACTTTCTTGTCTTTTAAATTTTTTACTTGATATCAAGTTACTTATGAATGTACAACAATATTTTTCTTTATTGTGTACTAACTTACAAAATACTATTCATTTCAATATTTTTTTATGTCTTTGGCTTTTTTTTCTTCTAAATCTATATATTTTTTCTCTAATTTCATAATTTAACATTTAGTTTATTAGAGATTTGACTTCATAATTTATTATGGTTTGCTTTATATATGGTTAGCTTGGTCTTTTAACCTGTATAATGGATTTAGCAGGTTAACTCCATTGACTTGATTTTTTTTATCTTTTATGATTTTTTTTAATTTTATCATTTAGAATTATATTGATTAAGAATTAGACTTTATGATTTATTTTGATTTGTTTCCTATAATGTTATTTCAGTATTATAACTTAAATTAAAAGTTTGGCAGGTTAACCTAGTTAACTCGAGTTTTGTTTTGTTTTTTTTATAATTGGATTTTTTTTAATTTCATTCTTCAGAATGAAGTTGATTATGAATTAGACTTCATGGTTTATTTTGCTTGCTTTTTATGAGATTATTATAATTTTATAACCCAATAGACTCAGGTCGTTTTATTGTGTCTTGTTTCTAGATTGAATTTTTTTAACTTTCAACTTTCAACGATGAGTTTATTGAAAATTAGGGTTTATAATTTGTTTGGATATTTTTTTATGGGGTTATTATAGTTTTATGACATTGGTCACATATTTGACAAGTTAACTTGAGTTGAGTCAGGTTATTTATTTGTTTACTTTTTATGAGATTTTTTCGATCTCATGACTTGGATTATGGGTTTAGAAGGTTGACTCGGGTCAAGATTTTTTTAATTATTTTTTTCAATTTTATTCTTCAACATTGGGTT